TGCAGTTGGTGGCACGAGGAGGGGAGGTCGGTCCTTATCCAAGCGGAGGATACCAGTTTGTCCCATATCCAAGACCCGCAAAACGACGGTCATTAAGCGTTGGGCGTATCATCTCCACATACATAGGCACTTTCGGCCAGACCTTCTTTCTCGCAGTTGAACTTGGAGGCAAGGGCCTTTCAAGGAGGGCTCGATAATACCACCGGGAAGGTCGAGGACAAAGGTGAAAGGGTGGGACTCCTATACATCATTCCATCCGCATTTAGATTTCCGTTTTTAATTTCCGTTATGTTTTCGCCCACATGAGACCTCCAAGGCGTGATTGAGATCCCTATTCCTCCGGGTGCTATTGATCAAGCATACCTTCTGGATGCCGTATTCGCTCAATGGGAACTCATCGCGGATGTGCTTTCCACCGAAGACGTATCGCTGTTCTTCGACAGAAATGAGTTCTCTCTCGCAAACCTGGGACTTGATGGCGGAGATAGTGTCGGTGGGCTCTGCGGTCAGAGTGAGAGTGTTTCCACTCAGGTTCTTGACGAAGCTATCGGTCGCAACAAAAGGGGTCACATAGTCAGCCTTGCGCATCCAAAATGTATGGCTCCAGCCCTCTTTTCTTCATATCTCGAACGTTCTTGAAGGGTTCGATCGGAGCACTGGGGTAAAGGGTTCAACCTACATCTGCACTACATGGCAGGAAAACGAGATACGTTAGAAATCATTCAACTAAACCGCGCGCATCTATCATGAAAGATAACTTACTGTTGGCAGTGAATCTGTCGCTATTTTGCTTCGTGGTTTGCCGATAACTGCGTCGGACGTTCGAGATAGCATCAAGATTTCGAAGTGTTCGCTTAGCCCGTGGGAGCAAAATACCCTAAGCCCTACTCTCTATGATGACTAAGCAACCGATTTAACTTCAGCTTGTTGGGCGCATCAGCCAAAGAAGCATAGCGGGCAACAATTGATTACTTGAAGTTGACTATGTTTAAGAATAGACCACGATGCTGGTCTTATATTCAAGTCTAGAAGCAAAAGTTTGTGGCGGAAGTGTTCATTTATTATTCCTAGGTTTTACATTTGGAACTTGAATCCGGCTCTCTGTCTGATAGACACTTAGGACCAGAGTTTCCAAGGACACGCCAATGGTTTTGCAGCAGTATCATAGAATTTCTTGCAATCTCTGGCAGCTGGTTTCATAGCGGAACCGCAAGTAATC